ATTGCAGAATCGCTCACAATGGCCAAGATACAGACTCAACCTAAGTATCCGCCAGTGGGTAAAGAAAGAAAATGTGGTGCATATACACAGTGGAATACTACTCAGTCTGTAAAAAGAAGGAAATCCTATCATTTTTTTTTCTTTAAAAAATTGATAGTCTGGAGAACAGTTCTTAGTATTGTTAGGTCCGGAGCCGAGAAAGAGAGAGAGAGACAGGCGAAGCCTCAGGTGTAGCAAAATGCTGTTTGTTTTGGGCATCTGGGTGCAGATGGGTGGAGGCCAAAGAGCATCCACCCTGAGGGAGGGGAAAGCCTTGGATTTTATAGAGGGTTTCTTAGGGGGCAGTGAGTACCTGGGCCAGAACAGCTGCTGCAATAAATTTTTTTTTTTTTAAACAACCAATTTCTGTTATCCCTGGGTCAGTCTCATCCTGTAGGGATAAGGGAGGGGGGTAGTTCCATTATTGGGGGGCAGGGTAGCAATGCTGGCTGCAGCTGTCTGTTAGGTTTACAACCACCAGGGACTCTCCAGACTCCTGCAGCTGTTGTTTCACAAACCTCGGTTTTCCATTAACCACATTCTGTCCCATACATACTTTTAAGTTCCCACCTGGAACAAGCCTCACAAGTACAACATTCCCTGTCCTTAACGTACAGGTGAGGGTCTTAACCTCTAGCTGGCCTCGTGGAGATCACAAATTGAAAAATAGCGGGAGGGAACCCAGAGAGTTATACACCTACCAGGGTCTGGGCTCTGAAATATGCAAATTTCTCCCACCTCCTCTTTCAGAAGCAGCTATGAAATCACTTGAGGAAAACAAGCCTCGATCACTGGGTAAGTTACCTCATTTACAACTTCTATTCCTCATGTCGGATTTTGAAACTCAGGGATCTGTCTTAATAAGAGACTGTGCTGAGCACTAGGAATGCAAAGAAATATAAAACCTGGTCCCTGCTCCCAAGGAGGAGCTTGTCACACAGGGGGGTAGCAGTAAGACCAGGAAGCTAAAATGAGGTGGTGTCTGTACCAGGAACCAGTAAACGCGTACAAGGTGGGAAAGAAAGGAAGCTTTTCTTTTGCATCTGGATGAGTTGGAGATTTTTAGATTGACCTAAAGCAGGGGTTGTCAAACTATAGCAGCCCAAAAGCCAAATCCAGACTGCCATCTGTTTTTGTATAGCCCATAAGCTAAGAATGCTTTTTACATTTTTAAGTGGTTATAAAAATTAAAGCCAGGTACAGTAGCATGTGCCTGTCATCCCAACTACTCCAGAGGCCAAGGCGGGAGGATTGCTTGAGCCCAGGAGTTCAAGACCAGCCTGGGCGACATAGCGAGACCCGAACTTAGCAAAGGAAAAAAATCAATAAGAATGTTTCATGAAACTGTAGGAAATTTTGCAAACAGAAAATATTTATTATCTGGCCCTTTACAGGGTGGGGGGAAGTTTGCTAACTCTGGCCAAAAATATTTTTTTTTTTTCCCTTTTCCAACAGTCTCTCTTCTTTTTTTCTGAGACAGAGTCTCACTGTGTTGCCCGGGCTAGAGTGCCGTGGCTTCAGCCTAGCTCACAGCAACCTCAAACTCTTGGGCTCAAGCAATCCTTCTGCCTCAGCCTCCCGAGTAGCTGGGACTACAGGCATGCGCCACCATGCCCGGCTAATTTTTTCTATATATTTTTAG